CAAGCATTAAATATTTTGCTGTTATGAAAATTGTAATAGAACAATATAAAAAATTTGCTACATAAAGTGTAACATTCGAAAGCATTTTTTTTCACTGACGAGATACTATTAAAGATCAATGATTTCACAAGATTTATCGTGACACGAAATATTTATGTATATACATATACATATATATTTATGTATATACATATATATATATTTATTTATATTTAAAATAATCTAAATCGCGTCTTGAGATTCCGTTCAGTTAGTAAAATAGTTATATTTTCCAACTTACTTAAGAGGATCTTAAATATAAGAGTGAATTATGAATGCGATGTATTTTTGTGCGGACATTTATCGAAAGGAATGCACGTGCTTCTCCAAATTGAAATGAGGTAAGATTGCAAAATATCGAAGTTTTATGCAATGTGTGTAACCTAAATCTGTTAACGTACAAGTATTCGAGTAACGGAATAAAAGATAAAGATTTTGAGATCATACAAGTTCGTATGATATATATGTAATATTAATATCAATCTTTATTATATATTTATATATTTATTTATTTATGAGTCTTCTTTTTCTTTTTCTCAACATCATTTATTTATTTATTTATTTATTTAATTCGCTCTCAGTCTTTTAAAATGCAAAACTAAATATTATAAGATTTGACTTTGGGAAAGCGCGATAAAACAATCGAATCATTCGTAATTCATATCATTAGCATAATATACTATGAATTTTCTACGTTATATATTGAATCGAAATTGCGCGAAAGAGGAAAAAAAGAACAAGCCTATGAATAGACATTTCCATCCTTTATTAAAAGAAAAAGAAATTAAAAATATATCTCAATTTTTTTTCTATTTCTTCGGGCAAGTCTACATATATGACCAATATGATTAATTGATTCCATCTTTATATATTTATCATTATGTGCTATTAATTAAAGCCGTAGACAATATTCAGAAATCAAAGTTGCGCGCAGGAATGGCCATACGAAGAAACGAATGCTGGTTCGGCCGCCATGTTGGCGCGTGCTGCTACGTCACTGCTACGTCACTGCTACGTCAAACGCGTCATACGGCCGCCATGTTGGCGCGTGAATCGGAGTCATACGCAGTTACACGGATCGTCGTACGTCCGCATTTTTCGCATCTTTTAACCGTTTTTAAATGAATATCGCGAGTGAACGAGCGTCGAGAGTGTCGAAGGATGATCGCGCGACTTTTATAGTGTGTCGATGGAAACGCGCGACAGCGATTTTTGACGATATTCAGTGATGGCGTCATTGCGAAGATGGAGCGAAGTTGCGTCGCGTTATTCGCGCCCTTGATGATGATTATCGGATGCGAGCGAATATCGGGAGTGCCGAATAAAGTGTCGCGCGTTCGCGTTGATGATATCGTGTGAGTTTGTGTGCATCAAGATCGGAATGGGACGTCCCGAGGCGAGCGAGTGGAGCGACCTGTGGAACAGCCGATGAACGGTGAGTAGATGTGATTTATCATATTTGCGTGCACAGTTCGTGCTCATTCGACGCTTATACAGCATCGCGATGTCCCGAATTACGTTCGAACAAATCGGCGCCGCATCATAATTCGATTCGATGCCGTGTAATTCAAATAAAGTCGATCGCGTGAAGATGGTTAGCTAGAAGCGATTTCAAATTTATTTTATATACGCGCAGTGCTGCACAGCCTATCTCGTAGGGCTGCCAACTGTTAAACGATAAATTTTTTCGATCTAACCTAACCTAACCTAACCTCTCAGTGCTTTGGATGTCGAATATAAACACAAGCGTATGCTGCCTGGATTTTATCATGCTTTCAAAAATAATATTTAATTATTTCATTAGTGTGTTACATTTTATTACGTAGTATATTAATCGTATTAAATGTGCGACGTACAGTTTTACACATTTTAATGAGAAGCATATAATATAATTGGTTAGGTTAGATTAAATTAAAACAAGCTGCTGTGATTCATTTAACGTAATAGGATTAATTTGACGAATCTGCAGCTACTGAAGTTACATGATATTTGTGGACACATTTTTAAAGTAATCATGAGTGTCTTATTTCATCTTGATTATATGAAATTAAAATATAAAATATTTATGTATTCCACATTAACGTTATGCATTACAAGTACTATACAAGAAAAGTATATTACTTTTCTTATATCTCAATCATATTCAACCATTTATTTCATCGATGAAGCTTTTCATATATCGCAGACAATATGATACTGTGTGTGGAACTTTACACAGGTAATACATGGCACAAAAATAAATCAAATTAAATTATTTTCAGTAGGATCCAAAAATCACTACATTGCCAGGATTGTATCTTATTATAACTGCGATATTATCACCTTTTAATATGTGTGCACAGTATTACATACATAAAATATATAAATTTATTTGAAACGTACGGAAATCTTTATCTTATTTATAATATTTATGATATTATAAAAGAAAATTGCAACTCTAATGAAACAGAGCGGTGGAATATTTGGTTGATACTTATGCTGATCTACAATATTTATCCTTTTTTCATCATTAGATTTTTGCTTTTTTTATTATACAGATGTTATCTGTAAATATAGTACTTGTAATGTTGCTTCTGTATCACTGTAAACACACAAAAATGATAGCATTTGCAGGTAATTATGTTATACTTATATATCGTAAGAAAGAGAAAATAAAATTAAAGTTGAATACTGAATGTGCTCTAAAGTAAATCTCATCTAAATAAATAAATGCATAAATGTGCGCTCCATATTCCTCATGAAAAAAATACATAATATTAATTTTTATGTATTATTATTTTTAGATTTTTATTCTTTTAAATTCTCTAGATGCACTTTTCATTTCTCCTCTCTTTCTTTCCAACTATTAAATATAGATCTATCATTTTTATATAGATCTATCATTTTTATATAGAATATACATACCTATTGCAATAAAGAATGATTTTACATTCCTCCTTGTACTTTGGCATACATATCCTTTATGCCTTTATATTATCTCACAACATGCTTTTATCGCATGATGACAAACAAGCCCATTATCCTTCATGAATTTTCTTTACAAATATTTTTATATTCTCAAACTGTGTAAAGAAATCATGTAACACTGAAAAATACAAAGTGATATTAAAAGAGAAGAAATAAATTTTATATTATATAGTATTGACAATTATTTTCTTACCAGTGTATTCCTTATATGTAGGAATATACATTAGTCTTTGACCAGCCCTATTTTTAACCGTCTTTAGGGATGCTTTAGCTTTTGATAACGCAAATCCAGCTAATCCATTTTCATTTCCAGTTACTATAAATGAACTGATTCTAGTCTTACGTGCTAAATTACCGGTCATACAAGTTATCATTTTGTTTTCCAAAATCCAGGTTTCAAAACTTTCAAATGTATCTGCAGAAAACAAAGATATTAATTATATAAGATTCTATTATTTAGAACTGAAACATCAAAAAAAGAATTGAAAATAGACATCGTATCACTTGATTTTTGTATGTGTGTAATTTAATCATTATAATCCAATAATAGCATAAATATTAACCTTTTCCAATAAGATCTGATTCAATGCTTCTGCCATCCATTGTAACACTCGTCCAACCACATTCCAATGGCGATAATTTTATTTGCATTGGCCTGGTCTGACTTTGTGATAATTCCATAAGTTTTTGCTTTTTTTCAAGATTTACAAGCAGTTTTTGCTGTTGAATTAATTCTTTTCCTCTAAACACAGGAGTGTTTAGACCAGGAAATTGTATCGGAATTTTTGCCATGCCAATAATTTGCTCCTTATTTAGGAGCTCTCTCTTTTCACTACTCTTCTTGCTCTATCTCTGCGTCTTCCTGCATTACTGATACTTGTCACACCCTTTCATAATTCATCTTCAGGTTCTATAGAACAAAAGCACAGTGAAATACAAATTATTTTCTACTGTAAATATAAACTATTATCAAAATGCTATATTCATAAGTTCTACTTACTATTCGCAAAAAATATAGAGTTTCTCACATTATTATATTTAATAAAGCGACTATTTTTAATAAATGTGAATGACTGACAAGCAATAAATTAAACAATATTAAATAATAATATACCTGAAAAAAATTTCATAATTTTATTAGAGTTAAATTGATAAATTAATTTTAAATACAGATTATATGTTAATTACATATAATGATTTAGAGACAATGATATATTTCATTTGCGTTACCATTGTTTACAGATTGAACATTTTTTATCAAATTATTTACAACTCTAAATATGTAGCATACGACAAGCCATTTTTAAAATCTATAAAATAAACAATAAAGTTGTTCATAGTTTTCACTCTTTTTTGTCATAGTCTGCTTTTAGGCGATCTTAAAGTCACTAGATTAACAAAGTACCGCAATTTTGATCTCAATAAGATGGAGCAAAAATGATGTCCGATAATGCAGATAGTGCACACTTTAGGTGCTTTCCATTTAGCGACACAAATCGACACAAGTGTCATTCTATCTTCGTTTATTGTTATTTATTGAAAAAAGATAGAATGACGCTTGTGTCGACTTGTGTCGCTAAATGGAAAGCACCCTTTGTGTAGCTATCTATACTAAGTGCAATTTTTCTAACCTTGATCCTGGTTTGTCCTGTTGTGTGTGAGGTGAGAAAACTCCTTCTGTTGCGCAAAAAAAGAAGAAAATATCAAAAATGCCAGGTTGTTGCGTGAAGAAATGCAACAATCGCAACCTATATCTATACTATCGGACGCCATTTTTGCTCCAGCTTATCTTATTGAGATCAAAATTGCGGTACTTTGTTAATCTAGTGACTTTAATTTTACGGTGGTGCAAGCGCAGAGCCGCACATGCACGCGCACGAAATCTCTAATCGGAACACTGGTTGGGTAAAGTAGCGTTTGATTGACCAATGAAAACAAAGAAATCTTTTTATTCCGATTAGTCAATCGGACTTTGCTCTACTCGTCAAATAGATTTTCGAACGCAACCCTGGAGGAGCCAGCAGTCGTCACATGACGGCGACGGGTGCGCGTGAGATTTTCTTTCGATATTTTGGATATAGAGATTGAAAATTTGTCTGAGGAAACCATCGCGCTGCTTAACTTTTTTGAGTGTCAACTATAATTCACAGGACTTGTATATAATTTATATTGGGTTAAAATCATCATGGCAACAATGAGATATATTTTGGGTAGCACATTTGCAGTCACCGCCTCGGTGACAATTCTTATTTTAGGTATGGCTTTATTATACATGTTTTTATATTAAAAATAATTATATTTGACATATGCGATAAACTCGTAAAGAATGTCGAATTTAAATTAATAAATATTTTGCCGAATTATACAGTGTCCACTGTCACAAGCTGTTCTTATATCAAACACATTTATTACTGAATTAACACTGTTTAATAATTATACAAAGATTTTATTATGTATATTTTATATTACAGTTTTGTATTATGTATTTACTGGCAAAGGAGAGCAAATTAGCATTGCATGGTACGTATAATTATACATTCATATTCTTTGTACATTAATATTTTCATTTCTTGTAGTACTGAATCCTTGAGATATTAAACAAAATATTTATTTTCCTTTAGGTTCTTATCAAATACTTCCCCATATATGTGGTCTACATTGGGCATAGGTTTGTCGGTAGCTTTATCTGTGGTAGGCGCAGCATTGTAAGTACAATAATTATAAATTTATAATACTCATAATTTTAGAACAGCATGAAATTACTTATGATATTCATCTTTTCAGAGGTATCCATACAACAGGAGTATCTATAGTCGGTGGAGGTGTAAAAGCACCTAGAATCAAGACAAAGAATTTGATTTCTGTGATATTTTGCGAGGCTGTAGCTATCTATGGTCTAATTACTGCCATTGTTCTGTCTGGAATGCTCGAAAAATTCACTTATTCCGAAGCTATGTCAAATGAGGAACTTAAGAATCAAAATTGGTTGGCTGGATACTTAATGTTTGGCGCTGGTCTGTCTGTTGGTTTGGTCAACCTTTTCTGTGGCATAGCAGTTGGTATTGTAGGGTCTGGCGCAGCTCTCGCTGATGCAGCAAACTCTGCTCTTTTCGTGAAGATTCTTATAGTTGAGATTTTTGGTTCCGCTATAGGACTTTTTGGTTTAATTGTCGGTATTTATATGGTAAGTTCACACACAAACACACACACACACATATATATATATTATACGTGTGTGTGTGTGTGTATATATGTATGTATATATAGGGTGCCTGGAAAATCGTTTGCAGTATTTCAGGAAGTGATTCGAAACTCAAAAAGAAAGAAAGCTTATATAAACATAGGCCCGAAAATAAATCATTTCCGAGTTATAGTCACTTTTATTTAAAAAAATCATAATTTATAATCTGTTTGGCATCTCTTTTTTTAAATTCTTAAAAATTTGAATTTAAATTTAAAATTTAAATTAAAAAATTCAAATTTAAATTTAAAATTTAATTTTAAATTTAAAAATTCAATTTTAAATTTAATAATTTAATTTTAACAATTTAAATTTAAAAATTAAAATAAATATAGAAGAGAAGGATGCCTAATGAACTATAAATTATGATTTTTTTTAATATAGAAGTAGCTATATAACTCGGAAACGACTTATTTTCGGACCTATGTTCATATAACTTTTTTTTCTTATTTATGAGTACGGAATCATTTGCCGAAATACTACGGTCGATTTTCCGGATATTCTGTATATATACGATGTCAGATAACGTGAATGTAACAAATATATTTAAAATTATGTATTGTAATGTTAATATTCTCTTTATATAAATTACTCATTAAATATTCTTCTTTTTTTGCAGACTTCCAAAGTCAAGATGGGTGATAAGCTATAAATGATAAGAGATTACAATATTCCATTCCATATTTAATCATTGGAAATCATTTAAAAAATTTCAAAAATTGTCTATCTATAAAATCGTCATGAAATGTTAAAAAATTTCTAAATACCAATATATGAAGAAATTGGTATATTATCTGTATCTATACAATTCCATTTATGCAATCTTCATGATGATCTAATTTAACATTCATTTTAATATTTACAATTATGAATGTTACTTTATCGTCTATGTTATTAGATAAATCTTTCCATTTTTTTGAAGCAGAAAAATGACTAAGATTATGTATAAATTTTATATAACATATGAATTTTTATCAATATTAGAAAACAGTGTAATTTTTTCGTTTCACGCTTCAAATAGCGCTCATTTTTACATAAGTCAATGTACATATTTTCTTGTTTATGAGTAATAGAATAATATAAAATAATATTTGTAATAATTTACCCTCACACATACATATACACACATATATATGTCATATCTAATTACTAATTATTAGAAAAATTGTTGGTTGGTTATATATAAAAATTAGCATAACATTATATATAAAAAAATATTAAAAATATTTATTCTCAACAATTAAAAAATACAAGTAAAAATATACAAATTTCTTGTTATAGAGATTTCTTGTTATAGAAATAGTTTATTCCTATTGCTTTTGATCTATATAAATATTTCAAGTACACACACACACACGTGCATATACACACATACATACATACATATATATATATCTGTCTTTGATATAGATATCATGATTGTAAACATTTTTTTTGTGTAAATGTATAATATACCTGTATAATATGATAATTATATAGTATCAATGATTTAAAAAAAATGTATATTTAAATATATCTAGCCACATAATATATTTATGTGCGCAGTACATCATGAATGCTCTTGAATGCATATTCCAAGGCTTGTATATATTTTGTGGCATTATGACTATTTTTATAACTTGTTACAACAGTCGCCAATTGTTTATCTCGAATTTGATATCTAAACAATATACATTAATTTGGTATTTATTAAATCTCAATATTTCGAAAAAATATAATAGTGTATAAATAGTTGTCATATTTTCAATATTAATCCAATACAATGTAATTAACTTACGATATTCCATAGCCATCGGATACTACTGGTCCAAATCCACCAGCAAATATAACTGGACTCGATAAAGTGGATGTAGATAATATATTATAATTTAAAGCATCATAAGCTGGATCTTGAAAAATAACTGATTTAGTAGAATTTAAATTCTCTGAAATCTTTTTCAAGGCAAATAAATGTCTATCAAATCCTTGGCCTAAAATAAGAAATATTATGAAATAATTTACATACAGTCTAATTTTTTAAACTTATTTGTTTGAAATTTGCTCAGTAATTGAACTATTTACCCATTACAGCTTCTTTTGTAAGGACATTGTGAGCCTTACTACAATTGAATATCATTCTTTTTAAGTCTGATTTTGAGAGTTCAGTTTGTGTTCGGGACATAGCGATGCAGATTTCTTTAGTTTCTAATGTACAAGGTCTAATGGCTTCTGTTCTGCCATGTTTATATGCAGCTGTACTGCAAGATTCATAAGTCGATACTACTCTGTTCTCTAGAGTGTAGAATGCCAACTGGAATGCCAGCTGCATCATAGCATCTGGACTTACCCCAAACTTCTTATACTGATTTTTGCCAAAATTTTCATATATTATATAATCAAGACATATTTGATTGATCCATTCGTGATATTTCGCTTTTTGTTGCTTAATAATATTTTCGCTCTTTGCATCGAGAGAAAATTGTAGTTTTTCAATGTTTACATTTTCTTTTGCAAGTTCAGTTACTTCATTAGGATGAAATCTAGGTTTCTTAGATATATCGGCTTTCACATCCTAAAGAACGAACAAAATTTTATATCTTACAATCTTCAAAAGTTTGCTACAACTATGTTCATAAGTGCCTAAAATTAGGACAATATCTATTAAATATATATACCTGAATATATCTGAGCATTGCAACACCATCACCCCATGAATGTTCAAAATTGATTCCACTATAGGTGTCCTTAGAAACAATAAGAGAAAACGACTTGTCGAACCATCGATTGGTACCATCCGCATGTAAATATGTTCTAAGTACTTTGTTGTTATCAGTGTCAATAATTTCGTCATCCAAGGCCAATATAAATATAGCTGAATCAATTTTCTTAAGAATTTCCTGATTCCCTGTTTCAATTAAATGTAAGCGTGCTTGTGCCCATTGATCCCTTTCTAATGTCGTAAGAACGCCCACAGGATGTTTATTTGGTGGTCTATCATCTTCTAGTATGGCCTTTAAGCATGCAGCTATCTTTCTAGGATTACAAATGGAATCCTCATCTAAAACATCAAACGCGTAAAAATGACCTTTTCTTAATACAACTAAATGTTTTGCTGAAGGATCATGGAAAATTACATCCTTCTCCAATTTTGGTATTCTAGTTGTATTAAATATATTTTTATATTGCGACATATCCAAGGGAAAAGCCTATAATAAAAATTTTTTTAAAATTATTTTTTTGTTAAATACTCTATACAATTATTTTTCTTTTAATCTATAATGTTTCATAAACAAAATTTGTAATTTATCTTAAATTATTACCTTAAATAAGTAAGCACCATACCAGCTAAAACGAGATGGAATCAGTCTTGTAATATTGCGAAATAGTTCAGTATCTGATTTTTCAGGTTTCATATGAAATACTTCTGGCTCTAAAACACCATTTCTAAGAGACTTGAAAAATCTCAATGATGACACAACGAGATTTGTCGCCTTTACCAATTGTGCATCATATCTTGGGTCAGATTCTGATGTAAAAATTATATAAGGATTGTAATTAATAGGTAAAGGTTTACGATCTCGCAAATACATATCAAACCATAGTTCACTAATGTAACTAGTATGTGGATTTTCATCATTATTATGAATCAACTGCTTTTGCAAACTTTGTCCCTCATTGGCAAGAAATTTCGAAATACAGGATGCTGTGTATTGCAATTCCTTATCATTCAATAGTGGTTTCTGTGCATTCAAATACCTCCTACATGTATCTTCAAGCTTTGGTATTGGCAGTCGTGGTAAGGATGCTTGAAAATGCAGTGTTGGAACTTTACTAATTTGCAGATATTGATATTCAGAGGAATCGTATGACACAGTACTCCTGAAATAAACGTGTATAATAATTATTTGCTTTTATTAAATAATTGGATATATTTCTCGAAATTTAATATTTCCAAAATCATTAAATTATGGTTACTATATGTGACACCAAAATCATTAAATTATGGTTACTATATGTGAACACATACTATTCATGTGACACTAGTTACAATAACTAATTTCATATAATTATAACTAATAAATAAATTTAAATTTTCAAAATATAAAAATAAATTTAAATTTTCAAAATATAAAAATAAATTTAAATTTTCAAAATATAAAAATAACACATGAAAAACGCGTCGTCTATTGCTTGAAATATAAAAACAAAACGCTAATACCTAGCTAATTGTTGTGTTAGCGTGATTCCTCCACGGCTTGTCTGTAATATAAATAATAGAGAAAGAGGAAATAAAAGCAAATCTAAGAGTCAGATCTTAAACTTTAACTCGAAAAAAAAAAAAAAAAAAAAAAAAAATATATATATATATATATATATATATATATAAAATAAACATATGTTAATAACTTACCAAAATTTTCTGGAATTCATTTCGAATTAAAACAAACATTTTATATCAATATATTAATTTCAAGAATAGGTAAATGTATAATTTTAAGATAGGAGAGCGATGTGATGAAGATTAGTGACACGAATATCATATAAATGTAATAAATGTTTCTACATTTATATACGTATACATATGTATATGTATACTAAAGTATAAACTACATGACCGAATGACCGATCTCGATCTCGACAATCCGTATCTCGTCGTTGTCCGTACTCACAATCAGATACTACGGATCACTTGATATTCAGAAATTATCCAATTGTTTTGTTATCATTTATGACAGTAATATATAAATTAAGTATATACATATATATATATATAATTTATCAACTTTGGGAACGTTCTAAAACGTAGTCTCCGAGGACAATTTTACTCGATAGTCGTTCTGAAATTCTTTTAAGCGTTTCCGATTGGTCCGATTCAACTATCGCGTAAAATTTTTCTTGGTTATTTGCGTTTTGGAACGTAACTTTTGTAGAGAAACGATATTATAGAAAATAAAAATATCTATATATTTATGGTAAATTGAAAATAGACTTTATGAATTATTAATTTTTTTGACATTTGTCATTATTTGATAAAAATTATATCATTTATTTATTAATGTTTTTTCCCATTATATTTTTTCACGAGGGATCTAATGATATCCCTTATTATATTGACATATGTACGCTACTGAGGATTAAAGAACTTTGTTACGCATGCGCGAAATTGTCCATTATCTCATAATGGGCCTGTTCCTTTTAGCTGTACTACTGCAATTAGTTAGAGTTAAAGAAAGTATGTTTGTCTCTTTTCTCTTTACTACACTAGTGCAGCAGTGCAGCTAAAAAGAACAAACCCATTATATTTATACTTTTCTTTTTATATATATTTAATCTTCTCATAACAATGCATTAAATTCAATTTTAGTATTCTAATATATACATATACATTTAATATTTTTTTCTTAGTACTTATTTATCTAAAATTACATTAATTCCTCCAACATATCCTGAAGTATATACATTTTCTTTTCCAAACGTCTGTTTTTTTGTGCTAAAATTTTATTTTGATGTCTATTATAAGCAACATATCTTAAAAATGCTGACCACTTTTTGTCCGAAGAAAAATCTATTTTCCTAAAGCATTCTATATTATATTTGGACATGTGTACAAAAATCTTCTTAATTTTAGGATTTCTTAAATTAGATGACGATTTCCTAAAAAAAGAAAATTTATTTACAGTATTTGTAAAAAGTATGAATTTAAAAAATTTTTTTAAATTTATAATAAATGATACTTAATACTAATAACCAATATCTAATACTCTGATACCTTTTTCCAGTTGTACCATTCTTGTTCACAAAATTATCACCAATATTTTTTGGATTATCTACAGACACACCATTTATTTTTCTCTCTAAATCTAAAGATACATTAACTAAATTTTCAGTTGCATCTAAAACGGGTGCTGATTTTTGTTCTATATTTTCACTATAAAAGCAAAAAGTATCATTTAAAAGTAAAAATTCATAATAAAAAATCATAGTGGTATTAAAGAAAGTATTATTTGTGTTTATTTACCTTTTTTTACTTTCAACATCATTGTTTGTATTATTTTCTTCGCAATTTCTTGTACTACAATAAATTATATTCTTTTCATTTTGAGATTCAATTTCAGAATCATTTTGAAATTCAGGAGTATTTGCATTAATCTCTTGAAATGTAGACGAATGTCTTTTCTTATTTTTTCTGAAAGCAAATGTTTCAAACAATTATTATGAAATTATGTTTTAATATATTCTTATTTGTAATGAAAAACTTCTATTTCACCTGTTTTGTTTGATAAAAACAGAAGGAATTGCAGTATTCTTTAATCTTCTAATTCTTGAGTATAGGCTCATTTCATGGAAATCATTCTCTGTGAAATGGTCACTACACACTCTGGCTCCCTTGTAAGAAACGGTACGACCAATTATACTAAACCATTTTTTCCTCATTTGTTCATCCGTTGGTATTCTATAAACATTATACAAAGTTTGAGACTGTTTTCAAAGAACATAAAACATAAATAATATAAAGATGTTTGAAAAGTAAATGTGTTAAATTTAAAAAAAAAAAATTTCACAATACTAAATTATTAACACATTTTTCCATTATCTTGATACACAAAGCTCTCTTATTATTATTAATTAATTAATATTATGAAATATTTAGAAATTAAGAAAATAATGTAAATCTTACAGAATCTTATCGATAATTCTAAATCGTAATATTTATAATTTATATCTTTGTCTAATTAGTCATAATAACTAGATATTAGGATAAATAATTTTCTCCCTCAATTATCAATATTAATTTTTATTATATCATTTCAATTATGTGTATGTATATATCTACATTTATAACCTGTGAAATGATCGTTGTGGATTAAAGGGAATGCACTCTTTTGAACATAAACAACACGACGTGACCATTTTTTTAAATTTACAAAATAAATATATATACTCTCAAAGTACACGTAATCTGATCGTGTATCTCGCAGGGGTTCAACAATTTTGGACACTGATCAAAGAGACCTGAAACAGAAAGAAGACTGAGAAGTGTCATGGCCCGCTTTTGGCTGATGGCAGAGAACTAGATGTCTGTCGTAGTCGTGGACGTAAAGTAAGGCTGATGACAGAGAACTAGATGTCTGTCGTAGTCGTGGACATAAAGTAAGACAGAGAAAAACGTATGTCGTACAAGGCCATTGTCACAATCAGAACATTGCGCCCAATGGCCACATTCAACGGACTCAACAGTTGGGCAACATTACTAGATTTTCCGATGTAACTCGACGCTGATTGGTCGGACCTGAAAGTAGAGACCAATCATATTCGATTAGCGATTGAGTCCGCTGAATGCGGCCAATGACGTCTAGGGATCCCAGATGGTCGCAAATTTGAAAAGAGGCTCGATCGCAGAGACCCTATCCCGCCGCACGTTGGAAACTCGACCTTAGATCCGTGCGATGATCGCGCCGCTTCTGACGTCTCTCCTCGGTTTAGCGCGATCACGTCGACGATCACTTGTGTGTGTACATATGCATTAGCTGCCACACGCGTATCTATGATTGCTCAAGTTTGTATACGCGCACCACTCCCGCTATTGCGTGTTATTCGCTATTATTTTGGTGAGACTGCCAGTGCAACGCGGGATCCGGAGCATCGGCGGGACATTGACGAGTCCGCGAAGACGAAAGAGCGATGGGGGACGCGGCGATGAACGTCGCAGCGTCCGGTAGCGGTGTTAGCGATAGCGGTAGTGGCGGCGGCGGCGGCGGCGGCAGCGGCAGCGGTAGCGGCGGCGGTGGCGGCGGCGGCGGCGGCGGTGTCAGTGTCGGCAGTGGCAATGGCAGCGGAAGCGGTAGCGTCAGCAGCAACAGCGGCGCGGGCAACAGCGTCGGCGGCCATCGAATCGTCAAGGAGGGCTGGCTCCAGAAACGCGGTACCGCTTATTACGCCGCGACCCCTTCATAATATTTACGTCTTGCGCAATGTTTACTCGGCTCGCGCGACTCGCGCAATGCGTCGTCTCGTGATTGTCGCGTGTCACTCTCTCGACGCGCGGGGCTTTATGCGTCACGAACGCGTGCTCCGAGGCATCCCCTTCTCGTTGATGTCGAGGAACGTGGAGAGTGACACCGGGTCTAAAGCGCGCTTTTATCCGCGACATTCGCGATGAGAGAATCTGGATTACGAGTCTCGTGTCTCGTGTTCTCTTCGACACCGACGTCCTCGCGATAGTTGGAGGCCCGCTGCTTGCATTTTCGTGCTTATCGATGCTATCGCGATGCGCGTTTTACAGAACAAAACATAACAAACATCGGAGCGTCTATTGATCTTTCCTTGATATCGCTATTTCGTTCTAATCTTATGTCTTGAATGATAGTAATCCTGTTCCAATATCCTGTATATTAGTTAGAAATTTCATATTGGATGCGATAAATAAGATTCGAGTGATAATTTTTGAATAAAGATATAAGATGTTTAATGTTCAGGGTATCCTATATATATTTGAAGGACTTGGTTTTTCTTTTTGTAATTCAAATTAAATGTTAAGCAGAAGCTATTTTCTTTGCAATCTTTCTAGATTTATAGAAAATAATGTTAAATTATTTATTTATAGGTGAACATATTAAAAATTGGAGGTCGAGATATTTTGTCTTGAGAGACGATGGTGCTCTGGTCGGATTCAAGGCAAAACCTGATCCACAAATGGCTACGCAAACATCTACGCAGCCATTAAATAATTTTACAGTACGTGGATGCCAAATAATGTCAGTGGATAGACCTAAACCGTATACATTTGTTATTAGAGGCCTGCAATGGACAACTGTAATTGAAAGGACATTTCATGTAGAAACTGAACAAGATAGGGAAGACTGGGTAGCAGCAATCAGGTTTGACATTAATCTCTTAAGCTTTAAAATATTGGATTCTATATTATATATGATATTTGTACAACAATATTCTATATTGTATATCATATTCATATACAATTTGTTTCTTTGTTTCCTTACAGATATGTAGCAAATAGATTAGCAAATGAAGAAAATCAGCAGCATGAACAACCCCAAATGCAACAATCTTCCTCTTCGGAAGATGTTGATATGGAATCGTCAATAGGTGCTAGGTCTGATTCTTGTAGCTCTTTAGGTGTTGTATCTACAGATATAGATGGTGGTAGTATTGATGAATTATCAGCAAAATTCAGTGTCCAAGGAACTTCAAGTAGTAAAAGCACTGGCAAAAAGAAAGTAGTAAGTTATCGGATATTTCTCTCTCTCTCTTTCTCCCTCTTTCTCTCTTTCTCTCTCCCTCTCCCTCATTTATATACATAGATTATCTTATCATTTTTAGGAAACACATTACTGAGTATTGAGAGGTTGCGTAGTCACTTTTATGCGTTAAAAGTGTTGTTTTATCTTTGTTATTTAGTGAAAGTTGAACAAAGATAACACGCTCATGGCGCTAAAAGCATGCTTGTCGAACGCACTCTATATGAGTATTCTATATATGTGTATGTATGTGGGTGTGTGTGTGTGTGTTCACGTGAGCGTGTACTTGCGTGCTTGTATTTGTGTGTATATATAAATACATATATATATATATATATATATATATATATATATATATGTATGTATGTATAAGTTCACAAGTATTTCTTATTTATAAATTTCTCTTCATGTGTTTCAGACACTTGAAAATTTCGAATTTTTAAAAGTTTTGGGAAAAGGGACCTTTGGGAAGGTAATTCTCTGTAGAGAGAAAGCAACGGGACATTTATATGCTATTAAAATTTTAAGAAAAGAAGTTATTATTCGTAAGGATGAAGTGGCGCACACACTTACTGAAAACAGAGTATTACGCACTACTAATCATCCCTTTTTAATTGTACGTTGATTGTACAAAAGATGCCGTTAATATGAACATGTATATTATTATCATTATAGATATTATTATTGACTATTAAATATATATTCCGTAATAATTTCATTATTTAAGAATTGTTTGCATTTTTATAATTAACATATATATTTTTTAATATTTTCAGTCTTTAAAATATAGTTTTCAAACAGCAGATAGATTGTGTTTTGTTATGGAATATGTAAATGGTGGTGAATTATTTTTTCACTTGAGTCGGTCACGAGTATTTGGTGAAGATCGTACTCGATTTTACGGCGCAGAAATTATATCCGCTCTGGGTTACTTGCACTCGCAAGGTATTATATATCGTGATCTCAAATTAGAAAATCTTCTCTTGGACAAAGATGGGCATATAAAAATTGCTGATTTCGGTTTATGTAAAGAAGACATTACGTATGGTTTGTATCATATTTTTAAAGTCTAAGGAATAAGAATTTTAATAAAATATGAATAAACTTCAATATATATAATTGATTATGGTATTTATATACAGGAAGGACAACAAAGACATTTTGCGGAACACCAGAATATCTGGCACCAGAAGTACTCGAAGATAATGATTATGGACGAGCTGTGGATTGGTGGGGTGTGGGTGTAGTCATGTATGAAATGATGTGTGGTCGATTACCTTTTTATAACAAAGATCACGAAAAGCTATTTACGCTTATTTTATTGGAAGAAGTAAGGTTTCCTAGGACGATTAGTAATGAAGCAAGAGATATGCTTGGTGGTGAGTGTTACTTTAATGATCATAATTACATGTTTTTGAGAGAATTCATTTTTGAATTATTTTTAGGTTTGTTAATAAAGGATCCAAGTAGAAGATTAGGTGGCGGACCCAATGATGCGAAAGACATCATGAATCACGCATTTTTTTCGTGTATCAATTGGACGGATCTGGTCCAAAAGAAGATTCCTCCACCTTTTAAACCGCAAGTGACTTCAGATATTGACACTCGATATTTTGATAGTGAATTTACTGGCGAAAGTGTTGAACTTACGCCCCCGGATCAGGGCTGTTTAGGTAGTGGAGGAGGTTTAAATTCTATAGCAGAAGAACAAGAACATTTTCCGCAATTTTCGTATCAAGAAAGTCATTCTGCAGCAACTTCTTCCATTGTCTCTATTAATCACTGACAGTGTCAAGTGTCTTGCTTAATTAATGTAATGAGATGTGTGGTTTATTAATGCATGAAAAATCTCGAGCAAAAACATTCAATTACAACATGTATCTGACAATTGTCTACAAAGCTTAAAACTTTCCCGATGATAGGCAAATCAATAAAATTATCTTTCTTTATGATGCTTTTTTTATGCATCTAAGAGATTGTTACATATCTCCAATGGCAAATTAGATTTATGCGTATAAGTGTGCGCTCGCATATAACACCTATACACATAATTATTAATCACTAAAATTGTATATGGCAAAATGTATACTATAAGATTAGGTCGAGATATATAGTATGATAAATATTTGCTGCGTATGAAGGAATATGACAGGGATTATAAATTACGTTTTTAATTGAATCGAATTAATTAAAACTCCTTGAGAGAGATATATTGTGAATATTGAATAATTTTCTTGTCGTCAAGGAATGTGCGATAATCGTAAGTATAAAAATCTGTGTTTAACAAAAGCTGCACTTGACACTTTCCAAGTTATCACTGTTTATTATCTTATTTATGGAAGGATAGTTCCTGATCTTTTTTTCTTTTCTTTTTTTTCCCTTCTTTTTTTATTTTTATTTTTTTTTTTATTCAGTAGATGACTGTTAGGCAGATGCCAAAGTAAAAAAAATAACTGGCAAAAAGCCAGATGAAAAATAATGGTTTATCCATTGCGAAAGTAGAATTGTAGTAAAATATCAGCTTTAATTGAATTATTGTATAAATTTGTCACTTTTTTAGCCTTATGAGGATTGTCATTATTATGACTGGTAATAATTGGAGATGTGCGAGTAATCGAAAATTGTGAATTGTATAAAGTTTGGAGCACTTATTTGAAAGAAACGTTCGACTATTTTTGGAATATTGCTCGGAATAATAGGAGAGTTGTTTAAAAGAAACTTGTAGCTTAAGTATTTTCAGCTTTTCTATTTTCTATTCTCTCTATATGTGAGATAAAACTTTCGAGGTATTAAAATATTTTAACTTATTGGAATATACATGTGCTGTGTAAATAGGGGGGGAGGAAATGTTTAAAATTTAAATTTTCTGTTGTATTACTTGCAATTGGATATTTTAATCATTGGATCATGAGCTTATATTATGAGCTTAAGAAGCTTAAGCATAATAGACATTCAATTCCATAGTTATTCAGTATAGCTTAGAATCTAAAGAAATGAGAGCATTAAGGTACTGCTTTTCAATATATTACAGCTTGTCTTCCTTTATTGAGTATGAAGGAAGACAAGCAATATATATTGAGAAGCAGTACCTTCATTTTTAAATCATAAAATCTATCAATATTCTATATCGCGTATAATAGAAGATAATATTTTCAACTTCATTTGCATCATTATACATACACACGTTTTTATCCTTAAAAAAAAGTTTTTTCTTTTTTTTCCCCTTCAAAATAATCTAGAAATATTGTTTTTGAATATAATAGTTGTATAAAAATAGTTCTTTACTGGAGGATGAAAAAAATATGTAAATCTTTTTCTTCCTTACTCATGTCATAAAACTGAAATCGTTGCTAGACTGCAGTATTGGCACAAAATGAGTTGTGCAATAATTGTGATCAAAGTGCCTAGTGAACGATTATTCCCTAGTGCAAATAATGTATTACATTCAAATGCAAATATAAAAATATAGAATAATCACATAATCATGTGTACCATTATCCTATTTTTACCTATCAGGATTTACTGTATATCACTTAAATAAACTATTTTCGTATTTTTTGAAAATTCATGAATCCGCAGAATACATAAAAGCTACAGGTTTAAACATTTATTTAGGTGGAAAATATATTTATCGTACAATTATAAGAGCGTTTCGACACAAGCTTGAATGACTTCTATTCGAAATAGTAAAGTTGCAAGATATGTGATATGTAAAAGTTCGAGAAACTCACACATGTCTAATTATATACAAATTTTAAATCGAAAAGATTTCCTGATAAACAGTCAAGGCTATTTGTTATGTACGTATCATTGAATAGTAATTAATTATGAGAGTTAGAAGGATATGAAATCTTATACACTCTAAAATACTATATATATTAATACTATATTACATATATAATACATATATAATAATTATATATATATATATATATATATATATATATATATACATATATATATTTATATTTTAACAATTAAAGGATTATATTGTACGTTTTTTGCATTTGCTAATTTTTTACTTATTCATATGCAAATCACGCTAATATTTTATTGTTCGTGATACGTTTCGATCCTAATATTATCTAACCTACGTAAAATATGTACTAAAAAATTGAATTATAATTGTACAATTATACATATACAGTCAAAGTGAAAGAAAAATTTTATTAACAATTTTGCTTGAAAAATTTTTTTAATATATTCATGTCTGTGTCTTCTATCTTGTCACATATGGCTAAAATAATTAAAATCATATTTATATTATTCTAAAGGAAAAACTTTTACGTATTGTGGGAAAAGATTCTCTTTCACGAGCCAAACTCTATCTAGAACAGCACCTTCTTTATCATCGGATACCTATTATCCATAACAAAAACAAAAAAGTTTTATTGACAAAATAGTTTTTGTTACGAAAAAGGAATATTCGAAATTTGTTGCAATCATACCTGTTCTAGATACAAATGAGTTTTATTGAACGCTTTCATTCTTGTATATCCATAATCCGAGCTGCGATATGCGGACCATGCTGGTTGATCGGGAACAAATTTCTCTCGTCCTTCTTTGCAACCAGCTGATCCAGTAATTATATGCACAGGTGCTTTGTAATTTTTATATGGTTCTTCGTAACTACCATTATATACCTATATATAATGATAATTTTCATTATTATTAATCGCAAACTTTTCCCAAAATATATAAATGATGCGATTGGTTGAACAATTACTTGAAAGTTGTACATGGGCCACATTCTTTCATAACTGTGTTCGTGTGCCCAGATTTCCAAATCTACTTTATATTTGAAAAACAGGTCCTCCAATCCAAACCAATTTAAAAATGGCAATCCGACTCTAATCAGACTTTGATGATTAGTGCAATCGTCCGCATTTGCATTACTGCAATACATTGGTCTATGTCCGAATACTACTATCCAAGGTCTGCGAGCCCTGTAAACATAAATTTTTTATCAATCCCCTTATCATTTTAATCATTGTCTAATTGACGGTATACCTTGCCTCAGGTTTATTTGCTTCTCTTAGATCATTGTCCAACCATTCGTATTGTTTAATCAATTGTTTTATACCATAATTCATGAAATAATAAGCTTCAGTTTCTATAGCTACGAAATGTACAGGACCTACATCGAAGCTATACCACAAGCCTTCCGAATCACCTGGCATCGTGAAACGAGCCCTAGAAGATATTGAAATAGAATTACATTTTTTTCAAGTATTAAATAAAATATCGGCAACAAGTTGTGCGTAAATCATTCAAGCATGTACCTATAATTGCTGAAATTATATTTCTCTTCATGATTCCCAGGCACAGTCATATATGGTATATAAGCAGCAACAGATTCAATTTGCCGCATAAATTCATCACCTACGCGTGCATCGTCACTGTGCATATCGTAAGCAAAATCGCCAACATGAATAGCAGCATCGTATAAACCACGTTCTGTCTCTTCCTGCAAGCGCGATAAACTCTGTGCATTCTCATTACCCATATCACCAAAGATAACTATTTGCGGCGACCAATCTGTGGAGTCTTTGGGCGCAGTTCTCATATAAAATACATTTGACCATCCATAGTGGCTGCCGCAATGATATACTATTTGACACATGGTAAAAGTTTATTAAAGCCTTAACATAACTTTAAACAATAATGAATAGTAAAGTAAGCAATGTATATCTTACTATATTTGCTGTTGGGCGTTAAATTTTTTAGCCATACTTTGTGAATGTACTGTTTCTGTTTTTTCTTTCCGCCATCGATAAAAAGAGTAGAATTTCCTTCAGCTCGCAAAACAAATCCACCTATACCATATTCTACTATTGACTCTTTTGTATCGCTTTTTGTGCTCCAAGTGACAACAATGTCATGAATTTTATCTGAAAATGATATACATACCATATATTAATTATATTTTTAGTCGTTATTATTCAAATTAGTAAATTATCTTACTAGTATTCAACTAGTACTTGGAACTAAACATAACACATTTGTTTCAGATTACAATATTTCATTTAAAGAGTTTGGCAATTTTATATACGTATCATCATAATAAAACTCACCACCATAAGAAAGATGTACAGCTTCTGGCTGATAATGTATCACATATCCGAATGCAGTGGAGATAAATGATAGAATCACAAATATGGTGTATGAAAGCATCTCGTCTATAAAGAACAAAAAATGATATGTCCATTAATATCAGATGCTGTATTTTAATCAATCAACATGATTATGTAGAAATTAGAACAAAGAGTTGTGTGCGAATTAAATCGAATTCTGCATTATTATTTCAAACGAATTTTACCTGTTGATTTAATATAATGTACACGTTTTATTCCGTATCACAGGAATAAATGACACGAGAGAGACTAATTTTTCATGTGTCAAAAACGATGCGTAATAAAACTCTATCTAAAAAGTATATGAAAAACGTCATCGAAAACGCATCGTCTGACGCAGCTGGTCTTTAAACAATAAGCAACTCCCACTTAATCTCTGTCAGCTGCTAATCTGTCATAATTTTTTGCTGCTGCCAGCGAAACCACGATAGATGGAGCGCTTGCGCCGAACGTGTGCGATGATTGGTCGAAGATAGATATCGAATATCGAATATCGAATTATCTCTCTTATATTTATATTTCATATTTATACACATTTTCCTGTATCTTCCTCCTGAAATATGAGTAGCGTATGTATATTAGGTTATATAACTTAGTTATGTGTATATCGATAAATTCTCTTTTGCGTCAAGACTTACATTTATTCAACATTATTAATGATTTGATATTATTTCATGTAGTTTATCTCATTTTATTTTCTTTCTTTCGTAATTACGATCTTGTACAAATACTTTTTTATTTAGAGGATTTTTTCAGATATCATACATATCATGTTTCCTCTCCTTGTATCAAGTTGGAAAAATAGCGATATATCTACATATATGTATGTGTTGTTATCGAATTAATATGTAGAATCAGCGTATTTGGTTTTGCAATTTTTTGTTTCACTATATCATCTCATTATAATACGTAATATATTTCAATAAATTCACGCTAATCTTTAGCGACATTTCGGTGAAATTATCGATATCTCATTTCGACGTTTCTTGAAATGGTGGTAGTAAAAGCTACAATTTTGAATATAAAAATTAATTAATTTTCAAGTATATGTTTATATTCGAAGATGATGAAACTTTTATATATAACATGTTATAAAGTAATCGAAAGATGATCAATTATAACGCATGCCAAGATTTAAATTCTCTTAATAAAAATACCCACAGTATAATTATTAGTGTAGAAAATTACATTTATTGTGTAGGAAAAAAGTGCGTTGCGTTTAGAAAAGTGCACATATCGCGTCACAAAGCAAGTTGCAAAATTTGAGCCTCGTCATAACTCGTAATCTTATACGTGGAAAAATATACATTTTATGTATTATTTACTTATAGAAATTAAATTAGAATTGTAGAAGCAAGAGAGAAAAGAGAGAGAAGGAGAGGGGGGAGAGAGAGAACAATTAATTCAATTTTAGTTTTCGCGGTACGAGAACTACTGTGAATTCAGCGTCGAACATACTTGTGAGATAGCCTGTAAGTTACTATTAATTCGTACTCAAAGTTAAACGGTACTGTCGATTGCAGACAATGGGACGACGTTGATTCTCTGCAATAATGTAATTACAGAAGACGGAGGCTGATGGAAAACGATGATGAGAGAAAGAGAGAGAAGAGGAGGAGGCGAGAGACCCCAGAAAGGCAGTTACCAAACTAACATCCCCTATATTGATCTTACATTGGTCTTGCTTCTCTCTTTGTCTCGCCTTCAGTTTGCACGCGTTTCCCGTACACGTGTATCTGCAGGAACGTAGAAAACTCTCACAGATCCCCAGGGATAAACAGGTATACAACAGGCATACGTGTATTTTAGCTTAATAAAAGTACATTAATCTTTGCTCCAAATTTCTGAATTGTGTATGTGTTTATATCTATTCACAAATAATTCCCCTAATATTTAAATCTGTTTTTAGACAATTCGAGTCCATAAGAGAGAATTACAACCGATTAAAGTCAAGAAATCGTATTATTAAAATATTTGGGCTACAAATTTCAAACACGAGACATTTGAGACTTTGAAGAATCATTCTTCAGTATAAGGTATAGTGCATTGAAATTTGACAGTTTACGCAATTCTCGTTAAACACGCATGTCTATTGCTTTATTGCAATAAAACTCGATGAACAATTTTTAATATGTATATTTGAAATATAATTCACGTTATTTAGAAATATCGTGAATTATATAAAAATTATTTTCCAATCCGTAAACATTGATATAGATTGACGTCAAACATTCGATAATTATTTGCGATTAATGTTTGCTAAGTCTTGAATTTATCAGTTTAATCTCAGAGATCGAATAGAGTTTTTTAAAAATATGAGTTTTTTATAAATATCTCATGTAAATCACGAAGAATTAGCATATGTATTTTTTAAAGTTTTTTTTTCAATTTATTTCATATAACGAATTTATGATGTCTTTTCGAAAAAGAAAGTTCTCAAAAATACATGGTACTGTGAATTTCTTACTGCATGGCGAGAGTTAGGGGAAGAACGAAAGTAATATATAAGTTTTCTATTCTATTATCAATGTGAGTGTAAGTGAGAATCCTCTTCTGAGTATAGAGAATTCTCTTGTGTAAATATCTCGGGGATCCAATATTGTTCAGAGAGAGGGAGAGAGAGAAGATGATCTAATATTCGCAAATTTAATATATAGAATATTTGAAATTCTAGATACACATACGCACAAACGCAACATATTGTAACACAAACTTGAAATATTTGATCTTTTATCGATTTTTTTATTACAGTAAATAAAAAAATTACATTTGTACATTTGTAGAAAGAAATGGAAGAATAATATCGGAATTTAATATCGAAATACTATCGAAAATATTGAAAACTCGAACAAGGTATAAAATGTAGATTACAATAAGCAAAAAATATCGTGTTATTTTGATTAATAATACAGTTGATTTTTATATGTATGTATATTTAATAAAATCTCCAACACACGTATATTCGCAACATATATTCGCACGTATATTTTTTATCACGAAATAATCTTACATTCTTGTTTTATGCATTATATTTAATATAATGCTTTCGTGTTTATTAACACAAATTAATTTATTAATAAATCGAAGATCTTTGTGTATTTTTAATATTCATATATATATTTCGTAATTTCATAATTAATTCTAATTAATTCTAATAGTATAACAATTTCTCTGATTACGTTTTTATACCCAGTTACTTCATTCATTTTAGTTAATAAACATGTGTGTGTGTGTAGAAATAACGTAACACTCAATTTAAAAATATTTTATGCAAACAGAAAACAATGAATCATAAAGGACAAAGAAATAATGTGTTGCAATGTGATTTTTAAATATAATTTTTAAAAAATGTTTTTTTTTTTAATTTTCATAAAAATTAAGATATATTTTTTTATATTCGCGAGATTGATTTCCTTATTTACTACAATCGATAAGATGCACACATCGACGCTTTTCCCTCTTTACGATAGATATCGCTGGCGGCAGCCTTGAGACACAGCGCCCTCCACGTTACCTTTTAAAGTGCGCCATTTCTTCAAGTCTCTTTTTCCATTCCCGCTTCGAGCGAAAAATTCGAGATATTCGCCGAGAGATTGGGTGAGTGACATTTATTTTCTAATCAAATCTCTTTTAGCAATCAAATGAAACGAGACAACATAACAATGACGAGATTCCATTTCAATAATCACAATATTCCGTCAACATGCAGAGCAAACAACGCCTCGGTCGTCACGTTCGGCGAGCATCGCGAAGATTCGCGGCGGTCGAGAATCATTCGAATTATCGCCAATCGGGGGTTGCTTCCAACCATCGGGGGATGACGCCGCGCGCCGCTGACGCCGCTCCGTGGCGAGGGTCGGAGGCGGCGCCGGCTCCAACCGGAGCAGGAGGAGCGACGTGTGTGTCAGCAGGGCTGCCGCCGCCGCCGCCGCCGCCGCCGCCGCCGCCGCCGCCGCCGCCGTCCATCAACGCGCACGCACGCACAGGGGTGTTCACACCCAGTCTGCCGCTCTGTCGCGGGGGCAGCTTCCCCGAGAGTCACGGCTCCGGCTTCGACCTCTGTCGCGTCGCCCGCGTCGAGGAAATCGTCGGATCTCACCGACGGCCGCCGTCGTCGCCACCACCATCACCACCACCACTACCACCACCACCACCACCACCACCATCACCACCACCACCACCACCATCACCACCACCACCCCCGTCCCGCAACTGTCAGTTAGTCGACTCGCGCGATTCGGCCGGGGACTGCGCCTCTCCCGAGGTGCATCGTGTCGCGGCCGATTAAGGGTGGTGGTTGCGCGCCGTCGTGACCGGAGGAGGATGAAAAATGGAACACGCACACGCACACACGGCGACGCGTCCTAACCCAAAGACCCCGAAAGCAAAGTGATCGAAGGGACGGGACGGTGGAAGCGTGAAAGTGAGAGCTTCGAGTCGGGAGTCGCCATCGGTGGTCGTTGTCGACGTTCGGAGCAAGCACGAGGAGGAAAAGCGAAGCTTCGATCTGGGTTTTTTCGAAATTTTCTCCCGCTGTTGATCTTCCGCGTTCCGGAAGGAACGGACACGCGCCAGAGTGTCAGAGACAGTCGGGGAAGAAGACGAACCTTGTCGCGAAACTTGGAGGAAGCGAGGGATGCTCGGAGACGCATCGCGGTGATGTCGAGGCGGAATCCTCGCGGCGACTCCATCAGGTTCGATTCTCGCGCATCGTCGCGTGGAGCGACACGAGGGACGTGCTGCTGTCACTTGTGCGAGCGCGATCCTCGCGTCGAAGGAATACACGAGCGATCCGGAAGACGGAACTGATTGGGCGTTAATAAGATCGCTCGCGGGATCACCGTTCGTTTCTACGATTAGTGTTGCTCGAGCGAACGCATACATTGTACAGAAGACGCGTAAACATCGACGTATACCGTGAACGGGAGAGAGAGAGACACCGCGAGAGAAAGAGAGAGAGAGAGAGAGAGAGAGAAAGAAGGAGAGGCCGCAGTCGCGTAAAATGATTTCCGTCATCTGCGAGGAATCCCGCGGGAAGTTCGAGATGTCGTGCACGATTCCTACGCTACTAGAGACTCAATGTCCCGTAATAACGATCGTCCCTGACGTGCGGTCGCATCAAGGGTGGTAGCGCTAACGCACCCAGCAAGAACGGAGGAGTGACGGCGGCAGCAGCAGCAGCAGCAGTAGCAACAACAGTAGCAGCGGCAGCAGCAGCAGCTGGTCGGAGCTAGTACGCGCTTCCGGCACCGTGCACCCCCGCCGCGCGGGGCCGATGCGGTGGATGCGGAACGACGGCGGCGACGACGACGACGACGACGACGACACGAAGGACGACAGGACGATGGCCGGTGGTGCGTGCACGAAAGCGAAGGCAGTCGAAGCGGTGATCAATAAGACGCTCCGGTTCGCCGCGAGATTGTGAACCGGCGATCGCTGACACTTGACAACCGTGGCTCGCGAGGCACGTCGTCGTAAGGATGTAGGGGAGGGGGCCCGCGCTATCGGGGCCCCGCGGAGGCGCCGCATCGTTTCCTCTCGCTCCCATGGACTTTTTTGGGAGGAATAAGGTCCTAACGACGTGGGAGCGCGCGACATTTCGAAAAAAACGGCAACGGGAGTGAGATAGCACACGGAGAATAATAAAAATCGCGACCGCGCGCAGTAGAGTGTCAAACGTAAAAGAAAAAGAAGAAAAAAAAGACAGAAATGAAAAGAGGAGAATAATTATGTGTTCCTTAGTCCATCTCTCTCTCTCTTAAGTGGCACCTCCTTATCGAGCGTGCATCGTAGTTCTCGTCGTAGAGATTTTCTTATACCACCCTCGTATGGAGCATAGATGCCTTAGTGTCTATTTAGAACGTCTCGGGTTTCCGATCTCGC